GTCTTTATTATGTAAAGTGGACTAACTCGGGCTTTAATGGCTCATTGACAAAGTGGGGATGGGCAGGAAGCTGCAGGCAGCTATTCTGTCTTTTAGAACATGTTTCTTCCTTTTCACATCCAGAGAAATATTCTGCCTTTTCAATATTTCCTAGGATATTTCATTTTTCTGGGAGAGGGCTGGGTGATAACTTCCTACAGAGTAATGTACAGATATAGTACCTCTACTGTGATCCTACGTCTTACTCAACATCAGCAGGTTCTGGAGAACCAGTAGCAGAAATTTTGAGTAGTGTGGAGAACCAGCAAAAACCACCTCTGACTGGCCCCAGACTAGGGTGGGAATGGAAATTTTGCGGTATCCTTCCCCTGCCACGCCCACTAAGCCACACCCACAGAACAGGTAGTAAAAAAATTTGAATTTCCCCACTGACCCAACATTATATTCTGAACCTTTTGTTCATTCACATGGTAAACCATGCTGGCACGGCTCTTTCAACATAAAAAGACTAAAATCTCACTGGATTGTTAAATCCCATCCCTAATTCAAGTTATAAGATTTCTCAAGAGCTGCTGCTGCAAGATTTCAGCCATTTTTCTTTCAAGTTGAAGGTCTACAAATCCAGCGGTGTTGCAAATAGACAGATAGCTCCCCCAGGTGGTTATGTTCTCCTTCCTGAACATTCCTTCTATTCCACCAAGCCAAGTAAAAAAAAATAAAAAAATCACATATTTACTTTACAGTATTGATTTTGTGAGAAGAGTGGTCAAGCCAATTATAAAGAGCTTTAGCTCAGATCAAATCCTAAAAAGAATCTGTGAGCCTTTGAAATTCACTCTGGCTAAAAATCATTCTTTTTGAAATTAGTGTATAATTCAACATTTTAAAAAAAATAGAGGGCGGAGATAATGAACAATATAATTAGAGAAAATGTATTCTAGTTGCATAGCGACCAATCCTTCATAAGGCATGTAGAAGTAAGGGGATTTTTGGACAACTTACAAACAATGTGTATTGCTGGAAAACAAAAAAATATGAAGGAAATAATAGATGAATCCCTCTGGATTTTTCAGTTTTTATTGCTTTTGGTGAAATCCTGGCAAGAAAAAAACTAGAGCTTTCAAAATGGAGGTCAGACAGTGGTTTTTAACATTGTTGAAGGGGGGGTGGGGGAGAAGAATTGCATTAGCCATGCTGAGAGATCTCATTTATTTCTCTCACTGCTGGTTCATCCAGTAGGATGCAACAATACGGAAATTATACAATCTGTTAATCTAAAGTAAGTGTCTACGCATGCTTTGGAAAACAATCCCTAGCGTATATTTTTTTAATTATTAGGTTTGAGAACAAAAATAAAAAAGAGTAAGTATAGTATAAGTTTCAGGACTTGCCTGATATTACTAAAACATTGTTATAAACTGAAAAGTAGAACCTCCCAAACAAGATGTAGTCTACCTGTTTTTTAAAAAAAACTAAAAATGGATTTCTTGTAAATATATGGGAGGGGGAAGAAATATGGACCAAGTTGCATGAGAAGATTCTTCTTTGTTTCTTTATTGATAAAGAACTATTGGTGAAGATCATAGCCACATAGCCTTCCATCCTTCCGAGGTTGGTAAAATGAGGACCCGATTGTTAGGGGAAATAGGCTGACTCTGTAAACTGCTTAGAGAGAGTTGTAAAGCACTTGAAGTGGTATCTTCTGTAAGTCTAGGTGCTATTGCTATACAAAAACACACTTCTACCTCTTTCCTTATCTTTTCCGTAGGAAAAAGGATCCAGCTTCTGTCATTTGTTGCTCTTTTTGAAGATCAGGCAGAATTTTGAAGGGGGAAAAATAAGACTTTTCTTATTTTTAACTATCTCAACTATTCACATTTCTGCTTTTTCAGAACTCTAGCTGGAATTCGACAGCCTGAAATAAAGGTTCACCTCCAATCAAACCTAAACTATTTCTTCTATCTAAGAGCAGTCAATACCTTTGGAATAAGTGAACAGAGTGAAGCTGCTCTGATTTCAACAAAAGGTAGGTAAACTAAGGAAAACTTCACAACAAATAGAGAAAATGTACAAACATTAATATCTTGCATATATCATACTTTTTTTTGTTTCCCCCAGAAAAGCTGTATATTCAGATGAAGGCCCAATAGCCATATGGTTTAACTAAGTGTAGTTAAAGTGTAGTTCAGGTATTTTTGGGAAGACATTTGATGGATTGATGAAGCCATTTGCTTAAAATCAGACTTGCTAAACTTTGGAATTATCATGCCAAAACTGTCTATTCTCCCTCCCTCGCTTGAGACACAAACATGGCTTATGTTAGCCAGTATTTCACCAGAGCCTTAGTGGCGCAGTGGTTAGAATACAGTATTGCAAGCTAACCCTTACAGTATTGCAAGCTAACCTGGCGCGGGTGTTCAGGACCCTGGTCTCAGGCTGCTGTCGCTAAATGCCAGGTCTGTTGTTCATAAGGCCCCCCTCATCCGGGACTTGATAACTGATGAGGGCGCAGACCTGGCAGGACTGAAACATGGCTGGGCCCGGAGGGAGGAGTCCCCCTCGTTGAGATGTGCCCAGCCGGATTTCAGGTGCTACACCAGCCGAGAGCCCAGAGAAGGGGT